TGGCATGACTCAAAAAGAGAAGACAGAGCTGCAGACATCCATTAATAATCGGAGGGTGGAATGTATGAAGTATGAATCTAGGAAAATTGGAAGTCATCAAAAATGAAATGCAAGGCATAAACATCCAATGGTATTGGCCATTTCGAATTGGACAACGTTATGGTATACTATGTTGGAAATGACGAATTGAAGAGAAATGGCATTGTGTTCATCATCAAAAAGAACATTTCAAGATCCATCTTGAAGTACAATGCCGTCAGTGACAGGATAATATCCATATGCCTACAAGGAAGATCAGTTAATAGACTATTATTGAACTTTATGCACCAACCACTAATGCCAAAGATGAGGAAATGAAAGATTTTTTACCAGCTTCTGCAGTCTGAAATTGATCGAACACGCAATCAAGAAGCATTGATGATTACTGGTGATTGGAATGTGAAAGTTGGAAACCAAGAAGAAGGATCAGTAATTGGAGAATATGGCCTTGGTGATAGAAATGATGCCAGAGATCACATGATAGAATTTTGCAAGACCAACAACTTCTTCTCTAGGCCTAGGAGACGCAAATCTTGCGTTCGTAATCACTTATAAGGAGCCCTGATGGTGCGGTGCTTAAGCGCTTGGGTGCTAACCAAAAGGTCGGCAGTTCGAACCCACCAGCGGCTTCGAGGGAAAAAGATGTGGCAGCCTGCTCCCATAAAGATTGCAGCCTTGGAAACCCTATGGGGGCAGTTCTACTTTGTCCTATGGGGTCGCTATGAGTCGGAATCAACTTGACAGCAATGGGTTTTTAATGTTTGCAGGAGCAGATCACGAGGCCTTTCTCCTGGAGTAGCCACTGGGTGGGTTTAAACCACCAACCTTTTGGTTAGCAGCCAAGCACTTAAGCAGCTCACCACCAGAACTCCTTATAAGTGATTACAAATGCAAGATATGTGTCCCCTAGGCCTAGAGAGGCAGATCCTTACTTTCTGCATCAGAGATGGGTTGATCCTCGGCTCCCTTCAAGAACTGTTGGAGAGAGGCCAGTGTCGACTCACCAGGTGGATGCAAGAGCACAGCAGAGCTTGCAGGTAATGAGGACACAATGTTCCCATTCCCTGAGTAGTCACGGCTACCTGGCCTGGCTGTAATGCATCAATCCACCTGGCACCTTGAGAGGAGAACTAATGGCGCCTGGGCTGGCAGGTTGACCTGCGTTACACAGCTGGGTGAGAAGAGAATGCATTGGAAGAGGTGAGAGGAGAGGCAAGCAGGACCAGGGTAGCCAAGCTTGAGGAGAAGTTTTACAGAGTTCCAGTGAGAAGCAGCTGCTGTGCTGGGGGAAGTCTTAAGAGCAGTGGAGAGGGCATTTTGAACGAGTTCCGCTGTACACTAAATGTGACCTACTTCTGAAGGCGTTTCAAGGGGTTTTTGAGAGGAGTCAGAGTTCCTGGGTGATGCAAACAGTTCACGCGCTTGGCTGCTAACCAAGAGGTTGGCAGTTCAAGTCCACCCAGAGGCACCTTAGAAAAAAGACCTGGCAATCTAAACAAACAAAAATCCCAAACCTGTTTCTGTCAAGTCCATTCTGACTCATACAGACCCTATAGGACAGAATATAACTGCCCCATAGGGTTTCTAAGGAGCAGTTGCTAGATTTGAACTGGCGACCTTTTGGTTTGGAGCTGAGCTCTTAACCACTGTGCCACCAGGGCTCCACTGGCAATCTACTGCTGAAAATTCAGACACTGAAAGCCCTATGGAGTACAATTCTACTCTGACACACAGAGAGGGTGCCATGAGTTAGCATCCACTCGACGACAATTGTTTTTTTGTGAAAAGTCACATTCTTTTCAGTGATCCTTCTTTCGAATGCTGCCGTGTTCTGGGTGGCTCAGCAGCAGCCCGGCCTCAGCAGGTCACAGAGTCACGCAGAGATAGATGCAGGGTTCCCCATTTGTCAGCTGGCACCTGAGTGGGGTCCCTGGGAGAGCAAAGGCAGAAGGGCAGGTAAGACATCACCCAGGCCCAGTGCTTTCAGAACTGGATCTCATTGCACGCATCTAGCAAGACGTCTGCTCAGCAAGGGTCTCTGCCTTCCTCTGGGAAACTGCCCTCACCATGGAGGACACTAGGAGAGGGCACTGATCCAATGGTACACTCCAATGCCAGCTCCTAGAACTGGACTGGCACTGGACAGAACAATGAGGAGTGCCCGGCTGCATGGAAGCCATGGTCTCCCATTCAGAAGAGGTCTGGAGCAGAGAGAGACAGAGACGGGGAGAGATAGATAGAGACAGGGAGAGAGATACATAGAGAGAGATACATAGAGTTAGAGATGGGGCAGAGAGATAGAAATAGAGACAAGGAGAGAGAGACAGACAGAGACTGAGAAAAAGAGATAGAGACAAGGAGAGAAAGAGATACACAGAGAGATAGGGAAAGAGAGATACATAGAGATAGAGACAAGAAGAGAGAGCAGGGAGAGAGACATATATAGAGAGAGACAGGGAGAGACACAGAGACAGATAGACACAGAGACAGAAAGAGACACATATATGTAGAGAGACAGAGAGAGAGATGAATTGATAGACGGACAGAGGAGGGGCGAGAGAGAGAGAGATGAAGTCATGCAGTCCTTTCGGAGGCCTGGTTGCATCTCTACCTTTGGGTGCCATGAGGCCCCAACCCAACCACACACCCCACTCAGTCACTGCCAGTGCCACCCCACCCCCATATCCCGCAATCCCCTCTTATGGGGCTAGAGTTGGTCTCTGTTTCTGGCAAACTCAGTGGCCTAATAGCCTTCATTCATACTTTCTCCACAGACTGGAACAGCAAGAGCAAAGCTGCATAGCATGGAACAGCCGGCCCTGCCAAGGCTCTCCACATGTGGCTGCAGGTCAGGGCATGAGTGGCTGCGTGGCCAAAGATGACCCTGCAGACACAGGCAGGGCCAACTCTGGAGGGCTTTGTAAGCCTGCTGAGGAGGTTGGACTTTTTACTCAGGGTAGCAGGAGTCCCTGAAGAAGCCTAGGTCTGCTAAGCAGTGAGTGGGAAGGATGGAGTTGGGGGCAGTTAGATACCATTACTGTGGTTCAAGCAAGAGATGATGAGGCCAAAACAGGGCGATGTGTAGTTCTGTGGATGAGGGTAACTAAGCAGATAAAGTGAGGGTGGCCCAAAGTTTCTGTCTCAGCTCCTGGGGGTTAGTGGCAGAATCACCTCTGTACTCTGCTTCCAGGTGTCTTGCTCCTGGCAGGGCCGCTTCCCTCGAGGTCTCTGCATCGACAAATCAGACTCACTGTCCCACCTACTCATGGAGAGTCAATTCCTCTGTGGGCTTCTCCTTGAGCTCCCCACCCTAAAGCCATTGGCCCCAACCTTTGAAAACCGTCAGCAACTTATTACTGTCTTTAATAACATTTACCATTTCTATAAATGGGTAACAATATTTTTGATTGTACATGTCAGACACACACACACGCACACACACACTCACCCACACACAGAGAATAAATATGCCAGAACGCCATTACAGAGAGGTGGCCACAGGCAAGAGTACCAGTTGCCATTGAGTCCATTCCAACTCATGGCAACCCATGTGTGTCAGAGTAGAACTGTGCTCCACAGGGTTTTCAATGGCTGATGTTTTTGAAAGTAGATCATAGGGCTTTCTGCCAAGGCACCTCTGGGTGGACTCGAACCTCCAATCTTTGGGTTAACAGCTGAGCTCATTAACAGTTTGCCCCACCCAGGGACTTCAATGGCAAGAATAGCTCTAAGAGTCTTAATAAAACGAACTCTTTTGATGGAAAAAAGGATCCCTGGTGATGCAGTGGTTAAGCGCTCGGCTGCTAACTGAAAGGTCGACAGTTCAAACCCAATAGCCGCCCCACAGGAGAAAGATGTGTCAGTCGGCTTCCGTAAAGATTATAGCCTTGGAAACCCTATGGGGCAGTTCTCCTCAGTCCTATAGTGTGGCTATGAGTCAGAATTGACTCTGCAGCGGTCGATTTGTTTTCCTTTTGATGGAAAAAGGAAGCACACACACAGTAGATGAGCTAAACTGTGTGGCTCTCCACTGACAACTGTAACGTGCCGTCAAGCATTGGAAATTGGCTGCACTATAACTTCTCTCTCCCCGTCTTCCTAGAGGACATTTGGGCAGTGGTGGCTTTAACATGAAGCAAATGAAGGCTAGTTCCCAACGTCCTCACTAACTCGGGCTCCTCCCAAGGCTCTGAAAGGGGCAACGTTAGTCATTTTGTTTTCTTTTTCTTTAACAGTGCCCCCCGCCGGGGGGTTTACACTGGGGGCGGTGGGGGATGAAATCATACCTTTAACATGTGAGTCTATTGACTATTTTTTTCTTTTAACTTTGTATTTTGCCACAATTTCAGATTTAGAAATTTCCTTCAACCCCTTTCCTCAAATGCTAACCATTTACTTTGCTGCTTCTCTCCCCCGCTCTCTAGGTGAGGGTAAGGAGGCGATCCAGGAGAGCGGCGAGGTTCCAATCCCAGAAGGCCGGCACCTCCAAGACCCTCAAATCAAAGGCAGCACCCCAGCCAACCCCACTCGACCGCTGCGCCTACACCCGGCTGCCGGACGCTGGGAGCGCAGTGCAAGGACGACGTCACGGCCGCGCGCTGCGCCCCTGACGCGTGCAGGTGCGCCGACGGCCAAGACTACACTTCCCAGGGGGCTGCGCGGCGGCGGCCACTTCCGGCGGGCGGTGCCGGACCCGGAAGCGGGCGCGAGGGCGCCGGGCGAATCCTGTAGCGACGGGTCGTAGAGCGGCAGCCTGCTGGGAGCATGCAGGGCGGCCCGCGACTCGCGGCGCGCGGTGCGTTCGTTCCCCCGCGGC